AATGAAAGGTTGAAGAAAACGAGGATGTACCTCTTGCTCTTGTGTTCTTCAGAAACAAAACCTAAAGCACCTTTGGCCGTCGGCATGAATCAAGCTCTGCTAAAATTGGAAGAGAGAAGTAAACACGGTAGTTTGAGTTCTACCACGTGGGATAGTTAGGTTTTAAGGAGAAATGAGATGAAAATTAAACTGATTAATTGAATCTATTGAATTAATTTACAAATTGAATATTATGTATAATTTCGATATGGATTAACTACTAAGAATGTATAATGTATTAATTATATCAAACACACCGTCGGTTCTAAATACAAATAGGGTAAAGTATACAAATGGTCCTCTAACTATAGAGCACTACTTTGTTGAGTCTCCTAATTATTAAAAGTTACAAAATTGTCACCCTACTATTCATATTTTCCAAACTCGTCTTTTTCCATTAAAAGTTTGACGATCATCTGAGCTAGACATTAACTTGTTGACTGAAATATGATAAAAATTATATTTTAATGATGTCTACCAGCACCACTGTTGCTTTCAAGAATTAACTCGATGTCATAATATTTCAAGCATTGGCTCGACGACATAATGTAAACATAGAGTCGATCCACAAAATACATCTTAAACAGTTATGGGATTAGATTTTATCATATTTCAGTCAACATTTTAATGTCCAACTCAGACGGTCGTCAATATTTTAATGGAAAATGATGAGTTTGGAACATATAAATAGTCGAGTAATCATTTTATAACTCTTAATAGTCATGAGATTCAACAAAATAATACCTATAGTTAGAGAACCATTTCATAACTTTTAATAATTAGAGGGGTCAACAAAATAATATTCTATAGTCGAGGAATCATTTGTATAATTCAACCATAGAAATAATTGATAAAAGAGATACGGCTGTGAATTTAAGAAGATTGGCCCAGGTGCGTGTACAATCATTTTTTCACAATTTTACATTTTAAGACACGAGACTCATATGTAAATATCAAGTTTTGGATATTTTAAAGGCATAATATCAAAAATAGTCCCCGGTGTTTATCAAAATGATTATTTTGACCCTTATTCTTTTTTTGGAACATTTTCTCCCCAACATTTGACTTTGAGGCAAAAAACACCCTCTATAGATGGAAATCATTAGTTAACAGACAATTAACGCTCTAAAATATGAGCTTTTTTAACCTAAAATGAAACATTGAGGGCTAAAATATCCCAAAAAAATTAATAAGGGACAAAGTGATTATTCTATCAAATGTCAGGGGCCAGAATAATCCAAAAATAAAACATAGGCAAAATGACCGTTTTGGTAAACATTGGGGGGCTAATTTTGACATTATACCTATTTTAAATTATATTGTTTGAATGTAACGTAAAAAAGTAAATTATGATATAATTAAAAAAGATTAATGAGTTTATAATACACAAATACGTTAAATTTTATGTCATACAAAATATTATGATGTCAAAATTAAATAAATATGTAAGGCCATCTACAACGCTGCAATAATGTGGAGATATCTCCACTTTGGAGTGCTCCAGCCCTGCGCCAAACTCAACTCCACTTTGGCGCAAAAGTGAAATTGCACGCTACATGTAGCGTGCGACTGTAGCAACATTACAAAAATCTTCTTTTTTTTATGATTTTTGGTTTTTATTTTATGATTAAATTGTAAGATAGATAAAAATACATTGAAATTAGATGAATAAACATACTAATTTTATTCTACGAAATACACTAATTGATATTTGTGGAATGAATATTCTAATTTCAGAGAATTAAAATAAATAATTATGTAACTTATGCTTTTCGCATTATTATTTATGAATGTTTTATTTATACTTTTTATCTTGATATTTTTTAGAAATGTATATGTTTTATTTTATATTTTCAAAATCAATATTATAATAGTTAAATATTGTGAATAAAGTAGAGTTGGTGGTAATGTAGAGATAGTGTTGAAGATGAATTACTGTTTCATCTTTAGAGTAGAGATAGAGATGCGCTAGAGTAGAGATGAGGGCTGGATATGGCCTAATGCGTAAAATTAACAAAAACTTATTACCCAAATAAATGAATTCTATCAAATCTAACTAAACTGAGCATATAATAAAATATTGATTTAGTCTATCTAATCAAAATATAAATATATATGTAAGTGGTATGCAATTTGATATCGCTTAAGTAGGTCTCGAGTTAAAGTCCTTGTATATGTAGAAAATTTTCGCTAGAATACTCTCCCACTAAAATCAAGTGTATGACCTGGATTGGTCCGGATTAATCAAAGTAAAGCCTTGAGAAGCGAGAGGACAACCAAATATATATATATATTGATTTAATCAATTGTTTTAGGTACAGAAGATTTATTCATCTAAAGACAATGTTAAGGAATCTTATTAATATAACTAGAACATACCCTCACTGTATTTCTAGAATTTAAAGAATTAGATAAAATTACGAATGTGATTAGTTTAAGTGATAAGCAGCTTAATATCGTTTAAACAGGTCTCGAGTTCGAGTTATAAAAAATATAAGCTAAATTTAGATATAACATAAATTCATGGAAAATACAAGCCATGACAAAAAAAATGTGAAGGATGTGTTAATATCAATAAAAAAATAAAGGTAAATTACATCATTAGTCACTAATTTTATGGTCTACTACGCTTTGGTCATTAAATTATTAAAGCTTTCAATTTTCCCAGTAAAAGTTTTGAATTAAACTCTTTTGATTATTGATCGTAAAATCATTAATAGAAAAATAATGTGATATTTTTATACTAATGTCTGCTGACATGAAAGCTAAAACAATTATTCTTTTTTTATGTGATATTTCTTTCTTCTTCTTTTTTTTCTTTTTTTACATTTCATTATTTTTTTCATCAAATATTACTAAAAATCGTCATTGGAGTCTTTTCGGACACTCTAGATATCGATGAACTCATATAATTATCCTCTACCACTTTATGTGTTCTAAAACTCTTTAAAATTCACGAAGTTAAACACTAAAATCCATCATTTTGGGAGTTTGGGACTTTGTCAAACTTGAGGTGTGTGGGGTTTCCGCTCAAGAATTCAAATTATGAAAAATATTTTTTTGAGAATATGAATAATATATTTCAAAATTAACCTCATCAGATAGTTGTTAGAAGATATATGAGCATTAGAATATCAAAATGTTTTATATTTTTTATTTATTTTGAGTCAGTTTTATGAAAAATCAAATCAAAAGGAAGAATGAGAAGAAAAATGTGAATATTTCAAGATCGATTTTGTCAAAAACAATGATCGACAATAGATGATAAAAATTTCAGTGATTTAAGGTTTTTGAAAAAAAAAAATCAACATGTGATCTAAACAACACGCCCATGCGTAGTTCGTTGCAATAGGATATCCATGCAGTGTATATGTGATCTCAGTGGGCTGGTTTTGAAACGTCCGAATGCCGAAAGATAAATTCCATGTCAACCAGAGTCGTTTCTGATTTTTTTTGGATCTTGAGGGAAAATTCAAAAACAAATTCTTATAGAACGAAAATATATTTCATTACTTTGAATAATTAATTTAGTATTTTATTAATAAATTATAAAAATAATTAAATTTTGTCAAATACATTATTAGTGGCTAAGGAATGGGACCACATTGGAAAGATTAAAAGAGTGAGACCCTAATTGTAAAGATTAAGAAAATAGGACCCTAAGAGTAAATATTCAATGACAAGCACCTCCCTATTATATGTCTCAATGACAATCTCCTTAATTTCCATACCCCATGCAATATTCAATCCCTCATAGATGCAATGTACAAAGAATATGAACTCAAATTATAAATTAATTCGTAATATAATTTTATAAATAACTATAATTAAATTTGAATATAAACTCGAACAAATCGATTCGCCTCGATTTGAATTTCATAAACACTACTCGATTCAAAAAATTATAAATAAAATTTAAATGATAAAATATGACACATCTACTCAAAATTTTTACTCGATTCGATCGAATATTCACCCTTAATTGAAATATAAAAAATAAATATGTTTGTGTATATGTGGTTGGGCTTATCAAAACCTACATATGTTATTATTATTATTATTATTATTACTATTATTAATAATAATATGGGGTGAGTACAAGGTAGTATTTATTCAAAGACTCTCAACCATTTGACATTGAATGCATATATCTCTGGTATATATGATGCTCAAACCCGAAACATCAAGGAATAGTAACAATTCATTAACCACTTAAATCGTTTAGTTCGAATTACATATAAATATGTATTGAAATGAATGCATCACATGATTATTTTTTATTTTGGTTTAATATAATAAAAAATGTCTAAATTATGTCCCTTTTATCGTTTATGTGCTTAAATTATTTTTTTGTCAAAGTATATGTTTAAGGTTTTCGACGTTATCATTTTAAGTTTTTGGTCTGTCACAACTGTTAAAAACTCTCGCTAACCACTTAAAATATGACATGTGGTATGTTTATAATTTTTTTTAAATTTTATTTTAAAAAATTTAATTTTATTTTTATTTTTAAAAACCCAAAATTTCTCTAAAATCTCAAAAAATCTCAAAATCCTTAATCTCAAATCATCAACTTCATTGCCAGCCATCCCCGTCACTGTCGCCCCCGTTGGTCGCCTACCCAATCGAATTGATGGTTGCAACGGGGTTGTGAATGGTGGTCGATAGGTGAGTGAGTGATCATTGAATGTGATGGTGATCAGTGATGTAATTGATTTTGGGATTAAGGATTTTAGGGAGTTTTTTTGGAGTTTTGTGAATTTTGGAATATTTTAGGTATTTTGAATTATTAATTTTATTTTTAAAAAAATAAAAGAAATTAAAAATAAGATTCAAGAATCATCGGGGGGGGGGGGAAATTGTATATGAACCCTCAAGAGTTTCTCTTCTTCTGCATCTCTTGCCACGTCTGTTCAACAAAGAAACACAAACCTCTCAACTAAGAATCAACAAATGATGAAATGAATCAACAACCAGATTTCGAAGTTCAACACCATGAAGAAGAATATGATGCTCATAAACTCCTGGAACCCATCAACTTATCCCTCCTCCACCTCGACAACTTCAAGAACACAACCCACCAAAACCGCCATTCATGCACCACCTGCGCATGCAACCCAATGAAACGCCCTTCTCCAGAACCCAAATCCAAAACGCCCTACTCCCTCTCTGACTTCTCCAAGATCCCACTCCCACAGCTTCACCGCACTGTCTCTGAACCTTTGTCGCCTACAAAGCTAGCCAAGGTCTTGGAAGATTCCTCATTGTCAAAAGGAAGTGCTTCTTCTTCATTGCCTCCCAAACCCCCTGCTTTAATCAGGTCAATATCTGATCCCATTTTCTCTCCCGCTAAGACCTTGTCGAGGACTTCAAGCCCACAGGAAACGGGTATGGAATTGATCATCGAGGAAGAGAGTCCCATTGCCAAGGTGTGTTTTATATGTTTTCTTCTTCTTGGAACTCTTTTCATGTGTTTCTTTAAAAGAATAATCTTGACGATTTGTTGGCAGAGACTGAAAAGAATGAAGGAGAGGGTGAAAGTAATGAACAATTGGTGGGGTGAAACTATAAAAGATGTTGAAGATGTACTCTCAGTGTCAAACTCAAAGGTTACTTTCTGGTTTCTGTTTGGTTTCCAAGAAAATGGTACAAGAAAAAAGAAGTTTTGATTTCATGGTGTTAATACGTTATTGCAGAATAAGGATGATGTGGATTGTGAAGAAGCTGTGAAAGTGGAGAAGATTGGGGAATGCTTGGACCTTCAATTCAAGTGCCCCTGCGGAAAAGGCTATAAAATTCTTCTCTCTGGAAACAACTGCTATTACAAGCTCATTTAGATTTATCAATGGCTTCAACTTGCTTAGACATTGAATAAGGAATGTAATGTGCTGTTTTTCTCTTAGAGATCTTTAATGGAATATATTCTTTCTGTTCATTGAACAATTTGCAAGTTCATTTTACACTTTCTGAAAGAGTTTTGGATTCAACATTTTGCTGTATTTAAAGGCCTGGGAAATGTCATGGTCCTCTCTGGAAACTCGAAACGATGCATGTATTTGCTGTTTACTTTACCTTTCTATCATCATCTTCTTTTAAAATGGCCTCTAGGAAACATTCAATCCTATTCCATAATTCAATCCCTATAACTCTTCATCATTTGATATTCATTCATGATATTCGAACCAGAGACTTCAAGAAATAACAACAATTCATTTACCACCGAAGTCGTTTGGTTCGTACACAAATAATTATTTAATGAATGAACTAAAGAAAATGATGAAAAATAAAGAGTCTTATTTCTCTAACATTGCATGGTGATTCTATGCGTGTCCTTAGTGTTGGTATATTAGATTTAGGGTGTTCATAATTACTCCTAGATTGATAAAATAAATAAATTTGACTAATATAAATTATATGGATCTACTGATGTTTATATCATAAAACTGTAATTTACGGAAGGATATAAAATTTTAAAAATTCATTGAATGATATTAATATGAAACAATTATTTTTTTTATCTCGGTTCTAAGACTTTGTCTTGACTAATCCAGACTAACGTACGTCGCGCATCTGATTTTGGTTGGTGAGTTAACATGAATTTTCTGCATACACAAAGAATTAAATTTGAGACTTTATTTAAAGGATATTAAATTATTTATTACTTGAATCAACCACAGTGATATCATATGATTCTTTAGTCTACCTGTTAACCTCCAAATAATATATTTCAGTTTTTTTAAAAATATTTTTTATGTTTTTTAAGTTTCTAAATTTCCAGAAATAATTAAAAATTCTCAGTAATCAACTACCATCCATTAAATCAAGAAAAGTAAGCGAAAACTTAAAATAAGAAGAAAAAAAAATATTAGTCCCAACAAGATGATAAATTATAGTATTTTCCTTTACACTTTTTTTAGTTAGTTGCGACACACATCCTCAAATTATAACTTTTATTCTTAATTAATCTTTCAAACTTTTAAATATACCAATTTTATCCATACACTATGATAATGATTCTAAATTAGTCTTCAATCTTTTGAACATTTCATTTTCATCCTTAAACTATGACTTTTATTCTAAATTGGTCCTCAAACTTTTTAAAAATTTCAATTTCATCCCAAATTATACGTGCATACTAGTCACATCCTTTGTTAATAAAATCATTAGGCCAAATTATATTATTATATGCTTGAAAAAGATAAAATTTAGGTTAAACTATGCTTGAAACCAATTACATATTTGGATGACTTGGGGTGAAATTGAAAGATTCAAAAGTTTGGAGACCGATTTAGAAGGAGTATTATAGTTTGGAGATAAAATTAGAATATTCAAAAGTTTAAGGACTAGTTTGGGGACATATTATGTTTGGTGATTCTGTTGTGCACTCTCCACACGGAAGATGGAATGCGTTTGTCTCTGGTCTCCACCTCTCAACTAATGTAGAAATAAGGTTGGATTCAAGGTTATAGTGCCCTTCATATTTTTCCACGTAACCGAATCCAGCATCGACTAAATACGATCATACCTCAAAAATTAAATATTTAAAAATTTAAGGACCAATTTAAAATTAGGATCATAGTTTGGGGACATATGATGCAATTTACTTTTTAAAAAAATTATGTTTTATATACAACACCTCTACTATTCAATCTATATAAACATGGATAGATCAGGGACTCAAGAGACATTCATCCTTTGACAATTTTAAATTTTCGCATAGTTTGATGTTGTAACCTCATGTCTTCACATATGTTGCAACGTTGTAATTGACAATGTTTGGAAATATAACAAAGGATCATTTTGTTTCTAATAACAAGGTTTGGAAGTAATAAAAATAGAGTTGTAATTGGCATTAAGTAAATTATGTTGAAGCAATGGTCTACTGTTTTTTTCTTTTTGTTTTTATTAATATTTGTTCGAAAGATTCTCAATTACTTGACAATGAATGCTTACATACACTTACAAATGCCGTGCTTGAACTCGAAACATCTAGAGATAACAATCATCCTTGTTGAATAATCGGGTAAAGAAAACAGAAAGAACACAATAATTTTAACGAGGTTCAGCAATGTGCTTACGTCCTCGGTGCCTTAGGTGGCGCTAGAATTTTTATTCAATTCAATGTCTCATAGGTTTAAGTTACATCTCCTTTTATAATAAAAAACCCTGCTACATATTTACAAAAATAACCTTGTACCATACCGCGGGGCTGCAACCCCCGCACCCCCAACCCACATAATCTAACCCCCACTACGAGACTTTCTCGGTATATTTATGAGTCATACCTAACAAATCTCCACCTTGGCGAATATCCTGCCCCTTAGGAAACATTCAATGTGGGTTGGGTTACCTTACTTCTTTAACAACTCAAAACACTCAACAAGTCCAAGCAATGCATGAACTTGTCTGTCGTAACTGGCTTGGTGAACATATCAGCGGCATTCTCATCAGTATATACCTTCTGAAATAAAATCTCTCCATATGCAACCAACTTTCTGATCTTGTGAAACCTTACATCAACATGCTTAGTTCTAGCACGATATACATGATTCTTAGCCAAGTGAATAGTACTTTGATTGTCACAAAGCAACTGAACTCCACCTTGCTGAACACCCAACTCCTTCACTAAACCAGTAAGCCATAAAGCTTCTTTTGCAGCTTCAGCCACTGCCATGTATTCAGTTTCAGTTGTAGATAATGCCACAATAGATTGAACAGTAGACTTCCAACAAATAGGCCCTCCACCAAGAGTAAAGACATACCCTGTCATAGATCTTCTATTATCCAAGTCACTCGCATAATCTGAATCCACATATCCTACAACCAATGGATTATCCCGCTGACTACCAAAAACAATTCTATGTCCCATAGTACCCTTTAAGTACCTAAAGATCCACTTGACTTCTTCCCAATGTTGCTTATTAGGTTTAGACATGTACTTACAAACTTGACTAACGGCATGAGCTAAATCAGGACGAGTACATACCATTGCATACATCAAGCAGCCAACAACATTAGAATACGGAACCTTTACCATATTTTCAGCTTCCTTATCTGTCTTGGGGCACTATTCTAATGAGAGCTTAAAGTGATTCGTCAATGGAGTGCTCATTGGTTTTGCGCTGCTCATCGCAAACCTTCCTAGCATTTTCTCAACATAACCCCGTTGAGATAGCCACAGTTTCCTTGAGTCTCTATCCCTACAAATTTTCATTCCAAGAGTTTTCTTTGCAGCACCTAAATCTTTCATATCAAATTCCTGACTCAATAAAGTTTTCAAACCGATAACATCATCCATGTTCTTCGCAGCAATTAACATATCATCAACATACAATAACAGAAAAATAAAAGAATCATCATCGAGGCTCTTAACATAGACACAAAAATCATACTCACATCGCTTGTAGCCAATCTTGATCATATAGGAGTCAAACCGTTTGTACCATTGGCTCGGAGACTGTTTCAACCTGTACAAAGATTTCTTCAATCTGCAAACTAAATACTCGTTTCTAGGTTGAGTGAAACCTTCAGACTGCTGCATGTAGATCTGCTCCTTTAAATCACCATGCAAAAAAGTAGTTTTAACATCCATCTACTTTAAATGCAAATCCCAACTAGCCACCAATGCAAGTACTGCTCGGATTGAAGTGTGTCTGACCACAAGAGAAAAAATTTCATCATAATCAACTCTTTTCTGCTTAAACTTCTCTCCCTCTTTTTCTGTTACTGCTGGTTTCTTCTTATACACTCATTTGCAACCAATAGGTTTCTTACCCTCAGGAAGGCGAACTAACTCCCATGTGTGATTGTGATTCAAAGACTCCATCTCCTTAACCATGGCAGCCATCCACTTGTCGTTTTCCTGACTAGTAACATCATCATGAAAAGTAATCGGATCATCACTGCTAACAGTAAGTGCAAAAGAGACCAAGTCTTCAAAACACAATCTGCTCGGAGGCTTTATATTGGTCCGTCTCACCCTGTCTCTGGCGAGACTATAATCCTGCAAATCATCCGTAGTTGAACCACCAGAAGCCGATTGAGAGGTTTCTATTTTCTCAACTGGAAACTGCTCGAAATTTACCACTGTCGTGTCTTTCTTCTGCTGCAACATGGGTTGTTCATCAAAAACAACATCTCTACTTATCATAATTTTCTTCGCAACTGGATCCCAGAATTTGAATCCTTTGACACCTTTCTTGTAACCCAGAAAAATGCACTCCTTCGATTTTGCATCAAGTTTGGATCTCTCATTAGCAGGTACATGCACATAAGCAAGACAACCAAAAATCCGTAAGTGATCAAAAGTAACATCATGACTAATCCATACCTCTTCTGCAACTTTCCCAGCCAATGATGCCCTTGGCGATCGATTGATAAGATAACACGCCATGTTAACTGCCTCAGCCCAGAAGTGTTTAGGAAGCCCCACATTCAACCGCAAATGTAACATCCCAATTTAGGGGCTAAATTTTAAGAAATTATAAAGTGGTGGATTTAATTGGTATTTTTGGAAGGAATCGGGGATTAAATTGTAAGATTTCAAAGTTGGCAGACCGTTTTATGAAGTGCAGGAAGTTCAGTGGCTAAACTCTTGGTTTACCCATTGTTTATATATGTTGAATTATAAATCTCTTCTCCCCGTGCGCAGATGCATATTTTCCAGTTTTGTCTTCTCCAACTACCCTCATTTCAACTCTGATCTACTCGCCGTCCGACCTCTGATCGACGAGCCGAAACCACCATCGTGTTCGTTGTTAACCGAGGAACAAAACCCCTCAAACCTTTCGTCGTGAATCATCGCCGTTCGTCGTGAATTTCAGTCGGAAGTATCGTC